CCTTCCTCCCTTGCTTCTTTCCTTCCTTCCTTCCTTCCTTCCTCCCTTCTTTCCTTCCTTTTCTTTTGCAGGGTGGTGGAGGAAAGAAACATGCTATGTTAGGGACTGTACTGCTGCTTCTGCTTCTGCTTTTTCTTCTTCCCTCTAATCCTTCTTCCTTCCTTCTTCTTTCTTCTTTTGCAATAAGGCGATTTTCTATTATAGGCTAGTTTGACAGCCTTTAAAGATGTAAAGATACCATTAGTGGATGAATGTATATGAGCCATAACTCACTATTTACAAAGGAAGGAAATACTGTCATATGTGACTATGAGGAGTCTTTCCTTTTTTTTTTGATGACATATGTATGAAATTTTATTTATATTCATTGTTGGCTTTGAATATAACATTCCTCATATAATCAACGTATTAATACAGGAAATATTTATTTCTGAAAGTTATTTAAAGGCAAGGTATTTCTATTTCTGAATTGCATATGATTCATATAGTTCTTTATATTTATTTATTTAATTAATTAATTTTTTTTTTTACCAGTGGTGGGGCCTGAACTCTGGGCCTGGGTGCTGTCCCTCAGCTCTTTAGCTCAAGGCTAATGCTCTACCACTTGAGCCATAGTGCCACTTTCTATGTGGTGCTGAGGAATCAAACCCAGGGCCTCAAGCATGCAAAGCAAGCTCTCTACCACTGAGCCACCTTCCCAGCCCTAGTTCTTTAAAGATATATTATTTTGTGCTAATCTCTGTATCTGAATTCTTTATCTAAGATCAGAGATTAGCATCTTTTATTTATTCAATAAATGTGACATACAGATAGCATATAAGAAGACCTGTATTATAATTTGTGGAAGCTTTAATCAATTAAAAACTAACACAAAACAGAATGCAAACATTGGATGGATCTTGCATTTTGATCCCATCTTCTGTTCTTCTTCTTTTGATTGGGGAATCGAGCCTATTAACATTTAAGGTTATTATAGCAAGATTTATCATGTTTCTTGTTAACATTTTCTTAATTCCCTATATTTTATATTTTTCCTCTTCTGTCTTTACTAAGTTGATCTTCTAGTGGTTTTCGTCTGGTGTGTTTCTTTGATTTTGATCGTTTAGCTCAGACTGTATTCGTCCCTTTAGAATTCTTTGTAATGGTTTAAAGATCATGAATTCCTTTAATTTACATTTGTCATGGAAGGTTTTGGTTTCACCATCTAATGTAAATGATAACTTTCACTAATCAGTCTGAGTTGGCAGTTGTTGATTTTTAGAGCTTGGATTATAACATTACAGGTTTTCTTTATATTGAGGGTTTGTACGGAGAGGTCTGCTGTGATTCTGATTTTCTTTCTATTATAATATAGCTCCTTCTTTAATTTTGTGGCATTTAAAATCAGTTCCTTGCTATTCACATCTAATATTTTTTACTATGATGTGGTTATTTAGACAGTACCCTTATTTGAGCTGGTGTGAATACTGCTACGGATAATAAGAGTGCAGTTATCTTTTTGAGATACTGATTTTTATTTTGGATAAACATAGGGATTACTGGATCAAAATGTAGTTCTATTTTAAAATTTCTGAGATACTTACATACTGGTTTGTATATGGCTCTTCCATTTATACCTTCCCCATAAGCACACAGAGTCTCCTTTGCTGCTTTTTCTCTGCATACTTTATGAACTTTTAGAAAGTATTATTTGAATAAATGGAACATGACACTCTATCTGGCTTGGCTTTGCATATCCCTGATGGATTGGCAAGACTCAGAACCTTTTAATATATTAGTTGGCCACTTCTATGTTTCTGTGTGCCTTTTTATATTATTTATTTGCTATGTTTTAAACTTCCTCTTATATATTTTGGACACTAACTCCTGACTTTGTCCATTTGTACTACTATGCCAAAATACTAAACTATATACAAGAAGGTACATGTTTTCCTTACAGTTCTGGAGGCTAGAAAATTCAAGATCAAAGGAAGTTCCAACAAATGATCAAGGCCTACTTGCCAGGACCTGATGCGTCAGAAGGTGAAAGGACAAAATGACAAGTGCAAAATCCTCATAGGAAAGAAGAGTAATAAGCTAGCCATTACAGTCTGACTGTGGCTTACCTTAAATGGCCTACCTCTTGACTCTATCATGATGGCAACAACTGAATTTTAGAGGAGATAACATTGAAACCAAACCTTACCTGATAAATAGTTTACACATAATTTCTACCACTCCATAGTTCACCTCTTCATTCTGAGTGTTTTGTTTGCTATGCAGAAGCTTTTTGTTTGATGCAATCCTGCTGATCTGTTTTTACTGTTATTGCCTGTGACCTTTGAGTTATATTCTAAAACTTGTTGGCCAGACCAATATTAAGAGCTTTTTCATGTTTTCTTCTCATAGCTTTATGGTTTCAGAGTCATATTGATGTCTCTGATTTGCTTTGAGTTGGTATTTATTTGGATGTGGTAAGAGCCCAATCCATTTGTCTGCATGTGAGTTCCTCCCTCCCTTTCACGAAACTGGATGTTACTAAATGCTAAGAACACTTAGTTGAAGTTGAAGAATCTCATTTATTTTTATTCCAACTTCAGTTTCTTCTTCTAGTTCAAGTGTATTTTATTGAACAACTTGATGCAAATCACCGACAATAGAACATAGGTAATCCTAATGATAGCTTCGTTACAAGGTTCACTGTTAAGCAAACTCAAAACACTGATAATTACTTTTTCCTAAGGGAAGGTTTATGTGGTAAATCTCAGCTTTATCTGACTGAAGATTCCTGCACAATGGCCTTTGGTTTTGTCTCAATTTCCATGCTGCTGACTGGTGTAGAATTGGATGGGCCACCATTTATTGCCTTTCAAGGGAGCAATATAGGATAGCAGTGACTCACCTTGGTCATCCATGATAAGGACAGCCCAGATTGATAGGGTCTGCCCAATGGTGAGCCTAACTGACAGCTACAAAGGGAGGTGGGGTGCATCCTCATATGGCTCTGCTTCCAGGTTGAGCTGCCAGGGCCACTTGATGGAGCAGTCCCCAGCCATGACATGCTGCCTTTGGTAAGACTCCTGCTCCTTTCTTCCTCTAAGCTCTTGGACTCTAGAGATTGCCAGCCCTCCTTTTTTTTCTGTAAATCTACCACTGGCTATAGAGTAAGATCTCTTATCTTCCTCTTAACCATGTGAAATCTTTCCATCTAGGCAGGCAGACTTGGCTATGAAGCCTTTTCCAACGTAAGGACTTAATCCAGATACTAGGATCTCTAAAGCAAGCTGGTGCATCTGTAGTCATTCTTCCCATGTCTGGTGAGTAATTAAATGTCATCCATGTAAAAACTTTGCAGGGCTTTCCAAGTAGGGGACACCAAAAGCGATAGCATTACAGCATTGTATTTAAGTACTTTTCTCCCCTATAAATGGACTTTTCCAGAACAGAGATTGTGTCCATGTCATCTTTGTAATCAGAGTTTCTTAGCCAGTCTGTATGTGTATGTGTGTGTGTTTATATAGGATGCTCATGTGACACAAATTGAGATAAAAGGCCACTTGACATTCTAACTTGCTTATACATTTGGATAACATCCTTAGAATAATTATAGTATAAATATGGCTATTAAAACCTTTAATTTGTTAAAGATTTTTCCTCTCATCATAATGGAAACGTTTATAAGTTTAATATTTTCTTGATAGTTGGGTCATCACAAGTCCCAGACACCAGGAAAGGATACTTCTCATCTGTGAACTTGAAAGTGTACATTCTGAAACAATTTTCGATTAAAATAATGAAAGAAGAGTAAGTGCTTTAGGATAGCTGATCCCTCAGTGGCTACTGGTTTGCTGTTGGCTATTCCATGTCCTAATTTCAGTTCACAACTCTCTCCATATTTAGATTTTTCATAGTCAGGAACTTGGATGATAGCACTGATTCAAATTGGAAATTCAAGAGAGTGGGCTGGGAGAACCAGTTTTTAAATAATTAATATATAGTTTATTTGTATTGGTTTATATCAGTTATGCAAGTAAGGATTTCATTGTTACATCTTTGCATATATCAATGCTGTTTTATGATCAGTTTCACCTCTACCCATATACCCTTGCATGTTCTATGAAATAACATCCGTAAGAGGTTTCTGTGTTCTCTTTCCCTATCTGCAGACAGTCTGATTCGATAGTAGTTAATCTTTATTATCCTCCCAGGCACAGACCCCTCTGCTAGTCCCCACCCTCTTAGAGTCTGTTTCTCTTCCCTCCAATCCCCTATTGACCATCAGCTTTTGTTCACTTTCTCTCTGTGCTTTCATATGTGCTTATGTTAAACAATTATTCACCCTCTTCCTTGTTCTGTTCTCCCCTCTCCTCCTCCTGAGTAATGTCCTAGTTTGATTCATGCTCTATATTTAACCATCTAAGTGATTGTTAAATATAGATATTTATCCTGATGTACATGTTTATGAGTATGAATGTCTTTTAGGTCTAGTTGGCACATGTAAATGAAAGCATATGGTATCTTGATTTTTGAGCTTGGCTTTGTCTCATTCAGTAGAAATTCCTCTAGTTGCCTATATGTTCCTGCAAATAGCATGATTTCATTTTTCTTTATGGCTATGTAATATTTCATGGTATGTATGTGTATATGTGTATATATGTGCATATATACATGTATATATATGCAACTCTGTCCATTGATCTATTGTTGGGCACCTTGGTTTATTCCATCATTTGGCTATTATTGGGAGAACCAGTATTGGGAAGATAAAACCTATAACTTTTGTCACTTTTCAGTTGCAGATACTGAGAAAGTATGCAGGAGATGAAGGTGAAGTGGTGGCTGGCAATATCCAATACGAGATCATAGAAGCTGAGGAGTAGGAGATGCTGTTTGAAGTCATTTGCAGGTATTAGAAGTCATTCTTTCTGGATGTGTGTTCCTCTCCACATGCACTATTGCTTGACTGGTAAAGAAGATTACAGAAGTCTCCAGAAGCTGAAAACACATCCCTGTGGTACTAGCCAGGAATACAGGCCTTGAAGCCAGTTCCTCACACGAGGAGCTCCTCAGGGCTCACTACCGAGTCCTGAGGACAATCGGTGAGGGGGGCTTTGCCTCTGTACAACTGGCAAAGCACCTGCCTACAGACAGCCTGGTCACTGTGAAAACCATCAACAAGAGGGATTGCCCCTCCGTTTACACAGAATTGGACATCTTAAAGTCTGTGGAGCACCCTAACATCATCAAACTTTACAAGGTGGTAGAAGCAGAGCAGCAGTTGAACTTGGTGATGGAGTACCTCGAGGGAGGAGACTTAGCAGACTATGTGTACAAGGTGGGCAGACTGAGGGAGCAGGAGGCCAGGCTTCTCTTTAGGCAGATCATGAGGGCGGTCAGATATTGCCACGACCATGGCATTATTCACTGGGACCTCAAGGCAGAAAACATCCTGCAGCCAGGGCACAGCCAAGCTATGCAACTTTGGAGTCAGTATGCAGTTCCTGCCCCAGCAGGAGCTGGACAGGTGGTGCGGGACAATGGCCTATTGGCCCCCTGAGATGATCAAGCAGCAGAGATACCAGGGTCCCAAGGTGGATGTCTGGAGCTTGGGGGTCCTGCTTTACTATATGGTGATGGGGGACGTGCCGTTTAATGACAGTTCCTGGTTTCTACTAAAACACCAGGTGTTACAGGGCAGGTTTATAATACTAAAACAGTTTTCCGCTGAACTGTGAGATATCTTAGGGTATCTGATGACACTTGACCCTCAAAAGAGACCTGCTGTGAGGCAAGTGTTGCGCCACCCTTGGTTAAAGGCAACACAGGCACGCTCACCACGCCCCAGCCAGAGTGCCCTGGCCCAGCCAGATCTGGCCATTCTAAATGTCATGGCCTATTTCCTGGGTTTTGACCCAGACCAGGTTGGGGCAGCCCTGTCTGGCTCCATGGCAACATACAAAATCCTAAGGCAGCAGCAAGACCAGGGTCAAGACCTGACCGGCCTGGGGAGGCATGCACTTCCTGCGCCTCCGCCTTGCCCCTCAAGTGTATGCAGGACTGGCCAAGCTCAGCACTTGAAGAAAGCCAGTGCTCCCTTGGGCCACTGGGCTGTAGGCTTGTCTGCTGAGCAGCAGCGAGAGGGATGTCCGTGTGCCTCTCCTACCTCCTCTGGAGACCCCACATCACCAGCACAGAGGGCAAGACTGTGAGCAGCAAGGCTGCCCTGGCACCCGCAGCAGCACCAGCAGCAGCAGCAACAGCAGCAAATAGACTCCCTACAGCCATCACAGTGAAATGACAATCCCTGCCCCTGAGCAGGAGAGGGAGGTGGGCAGCAGGCCCGACTCTCTCACCAACCTATATTACACAGCTCTGTTGCCTCATGTCCAAAAACATCTGATCCCAGCGGAAAGGACCAAGGGGAAGATGTGGAGAGCAGCAAGCTGCCCACCCCACAAGTCCTGCACCTGTCGAACCCTCCCACAACAGCCACAGCAAATGAGCAACTCAGGGGCTGGAGGCGCTGGAAGAACAATATCACTAGTTGCTTTTAGAGCCTATACTGCTGTTGCAGCCTGCCTAAAGTGCTTCCTCAAGAATGTGTTTCTTCCTGACAGCCTGGAAACAAGTAGGTGGCCACTGAGCTGTGCTCTTGTTTTATCTATACTTCAGGGAAGTCCTTTTAGTTCATTCCCTCTGAACTGAGGTTACCTGGGTGAAAGGGAAGTGTGGAGACACAAAAAGAGGAGGGGAGAGGAAGAAGTGTCTAAAAGGATAGACTTACAGAAAGAAGGCATTGTGACTTGTCAGGTGTTGTCCTGTGCAATTCAGTCCAGAGTTCCCTTTCTTTGTGCAGCTCAAATGGAGAAGCTGAAAACACATCCCTGTGGTACTAGCCAGGAACACATTCCATTCAAGCTTGCACATGCCTAGAGACTAGAGTTCCTTCCTCTGCTCCTACCTCCAACAAACTCCACAGACTTCATTCGAAATGATTTCTAATATTGTTTCTATTGCTCCTCGCCAATCTTATTAAATTGGTATTCTGAAAAGATTATCATATATTTTCTGAGTTCGTATTCTTCATTTCTGCCAGGGGTACTGATGTTTGGTGGGAGCTAGTTCAAGAATGTGACGGAGTCACTAATTTGTGGCTCTTTCCTGTAGTTCGAGCTATTCAGAAGACCGAGTCCTTGGAGGACTGATGATCAAATATCACCAGCACACGCACAAGTCTTTTCTCCAATACTGTCAGCATTCAGGGGGGAGGGAGGAGGAGCTCCATCAGTAAATGGTTAGACTATTAAGCACAGCAAATGCATGGTCTGTATTTAACTACCAAATACCCAATTGTAACACCTGTGCTTCAAGTGGTAAAGCTCTATCCTTGATTAAAAAGAGCTTAGGGACAGCACCTAGGATCCAAGTTTAAGCACCAGGAGAGGCACACATTCACAGAAAAATACCTGCATACAGGAGGGCAAAAAGCATATTTTAAGCAGATGACCAGCTTATCAATAGCAAATTTGAGGTCTTGATTTTAAAATACTGATACTAGTAAAAATAAAATAAGTAGTTACACAGAATTCTCAGATGCTCTCCAGCAGCACCAAGTAATTGTATGTTTTTTCAGTGCAGAAATGCAGCCCTTCTGTGTGGCCTACACATACTACCATCACCTGGTATAATGTTTTAAAACAATGTCTGCATTTCTGGCAAACGTATCTGTCATAGGGATTCAGTAATACCACACTGAAGTTCAGTAAGGCAAATAGATTGCTAAATATGCTCACAAATGTAGTTTCAGCCCAATTGCTTTACCTACCAGCACCTTTAACTTAAGAGGGAACTCACAAGTCTTCATGGCTCTAGGAACTTCAGCAGGGCTAAGAAAAGTGAAATCCAGAGTCAGACCATTCTACAGTTCCATGCTCGTGGCTCAGACATCAATCCTAGCTCCTCAAGAGCCTATCTGAACCATGCAGAACAACCCATGGGAGTCTCATCTCCAATCAACCTGAAGATGTGGTGGTGTGGATCATGTAGTTAGTACAAGGGTTAGTGCAATGGTTGTGCAAAAAAGCAAGTTACCTCTACAGCTGCCTAAATTTTTCAATGAAGAATCTCAGAAGGCTGTTCGTATACATATGAAATCTCATATATATGAAAACAAATCTTTGCAAAAAGATTTACAAAATGATACCACATACTGCTGTAACCCCAGTGATATGCAAAGTAAAGGTGGGTGTCAGACCTGCATCTAGAGGCAAACAAGCCAGAAGGGCATAGCTTACATTACTGTAATGCACCTTAGCTTGTAAAATTGAAGGTTGTCTATTTCTTAGAGGAATGACATTGGGAGTTGGGTGGGTATTGCATTGACTATGCCAATTACTTTGGCCTTGTTCTCATTGTCCCAATTATAACTCTGCCAAACCAGAAATATGGGAATTATTCCCATCTTCTGCTCTCATCTTCAATTTTTCTCTATAAGGTTTTATAGCTCTCATTGTAAAAGTCTTTACCTCCCTGACTAGGTTCGTTGCTAAGTTTTGTTAAGCAACTGCATATGTCGTTTTTCTCCAAATTTCACTCTGCATTTGCGCACTATGGATATACAGAAAAGCAACTTGTTTTTTCGAGAATGATTGAAGCACTACAAATGTGTATCTCTTTATCAGCTTTAAGAGTTTGGAGTTTGAATCTTTATGTTCCTATGTATAACATCATATCATCTATAAGGAATGATACTTTTACTCTTATCCTTCTATTTGAATCACTTCTCTCTCTTTCTCTTACCTTTTGGCTTTGGCTAGAAATTCCAGTACTAACTTGGAGAAAAGAGTGAGAATAGAGTTCTTTATTGAGGACATTTGTATCTGTGTTCATCAAAATAGTGGACTATTTTCCTAGGTGATTATTGTTGTTGAGTCCCTGTATGGTGTCTGGGTGAGTGCAATGCTGCCATCATAGAGTAAGTTTGGTAGGAATCCTCAATTTCTACTTCATGAACAAGTTATAGGAGAATTCATGTTCTTATTTAATGGTTGTATCTAGATATCAGCAGTGAATTCATCAGGTTCTGACTTTTCTTTCTTGGAAGATCCTATTGTCATTTTTAGTTTTCTTACTTGTTATGCACCTATTTCAGCACTTTTCAACTTCTTGGCTCAACTTTGGCAGTTTGATGCTATCTATGAATGCATGCATTTCTACTAGAATTTCCAGTTTGATTGACTGAAGGTTTGTAAAATAAATATTCTGGAGTTACAGCCTCAAACTCACTTGAATTCTTGTCTCCATCTTCATCCCTCATTTATTTTATTGACTTTTCCTCTTCTTTTGGTCAGGTTGTTTAACAATTTATTAATTTTCTCCATTTACTTTTTTTGTGAGGAACCAACCTTCAGTTCTGTGGATTCTTACAATGTAGATTTTTGTGTGTGTGATTGTGTCTATTTGTTTTTACGTCACTAGTTACTTCTATAATTTTTATCATTTTTTCTCATACTTGTTTTGGGATGGGGATTGTCATGTTCTTGTTTTCTAAGCAATTAAGGGATAACCATTAAGATCTTTCCATTTTAATGGTGTAAGCCTGCATAGCTATGAAGATTTCTACTAGATCAAGTCTCTGTGGCATAATTGGTTAGCGCGTTCGGCTCTTAACTGAAAGATTTCTACTAGAAATACTTTTGCTGTGTCTCAAATATTCTGGTAGATTATTTTTTCATTTCAATTAGATTGGAAGGACTTTTTCTTTTTTCCTTGTTCAGTGTTCATAATTATGAGTATTTTTCTGTGGTTTCTTTTGCCATGCTTAAATTTCATTATGGTCTGATAAAATGCAGCAAGTGTTTCTATTCTATTATATTTACTGGACTTGCTTTATGAACTAGACTACCATACTTTGGTCTTCTTGGGAGAATGATACTTGGAACAGTTGACAAGCATGTGTATTGCACAGGTGCAAGAGGAAATGTTCTGTAAACATCTGTGAGGACCAATTGTTCTATGGCATCATTGCACCTGAGGATTTTTGTTGAGTTTGTTCACAGATCACCTATTCATTGGTGCGAGTGAGGTACTGAAGACTCCAACTATCATCATGTTGTGGTCTATGCTTTTTTATTTAAAGTCCAATAGTGTTTATCTAAATTGACTGCACTGGCATTTGGTCCATAAGTTTGACATGTTATATCACCTGGCTGGAAATTTCCCTTCCTTAACATAAATTGCTCTTCTTTATCTCTTCTTACTACTTTTCATTTAAAGCTATTTTGTCAGATATGAGTATCACTATGCCTTCCTTATTCTGGAATCTGCTTATTTCACATACTTTTTTCCAACCTTGCACTCTAAGCCAGTGTTTGCCAGATAGATTATTTCTTGTAAACAACAGAGAGTTGTGTTTTACCTTGTGGTTCAACTCACCATTTTATGTCTGTTAATTGGAGAGTTGAGTCCACTGACCTTAAGTGTTAACATTGAGATATATGTAGCAATTCATGTTGCTTCTTGTCCCCTACCATATTCTGGTTTTGTCTCACTTTCTGT